GGGGGGGTGTATGCCCCCGGATCTGCACATTGAGGTGTGGGCCGGGAAGAGCCCTGTGCAGCCTTGGCCCCAGCTCACCACACCCTGTGCATATCTGGGGGCACTCCCACCCCCCACTAGCCCTCCTGGGTTAGTGGCAAGAGCAGCAGCAGGAGCTGCCAGATGAGTGGCTCCTGGTCGAGCAGTGCGCAGTGGCAGGAGTGCCCCCTCATTCCTCTCAGACGAGCCCCGGCTCCATCCTGCACCCCCTCTTCTCTCCCACCCTGGCTGGGCAGCGCTTGCCCACTCCTCCCTCACCACGGTGGCTTTGATCTGCCTTCCATGCCCCTTCCTTCCCCTCTCCCCTTCCATTACAACAGACTTTCCAGCTGCATGCATCTTTCCAAGCTTCCAGGCTGTACTCCTTACTGCCTACATGCTGCGCTGTGGCTGTGTGCATGCATGGGCCATTTATCTGCCAAATTATTGGCCATATCATGCCAGTTTCTGATACAGACAATTTTCTTTATATTGGTGACAATCCAGTATTGTATTGGTGCACCTCTGGTGAAAGCTAAGAGCTGGCATATTCCAAGGGTTGCTTTGAGCCTAAAAGATTGAGAACCATTGCACTATGACACCCAGATGCCATGGCTAACTATGACTGTTGCAGGATTGTGAGTATCCACAACCTGGAAAAATCCACAGATTAAAATCTCAAAAACCAAAGATTTGGGGTTTTGCTTCCTAAAAGGACCCTGTGGACTGTTTTTTTTTTTTTTTTAATGAATTAAAACATGCTTCCCTTTGTAATGCCTTTTTTTCCCCTCATGCACACAAAGGCATTCCATTGTTCAGAATGAAATTTTAATTCTTCAGGTAAAGTGGAAGATCATATTAACTAGTTCCACATTTCATGATTTGGTTAATTTTTTGTGTGTGCGCATCTGTTCTTGGAACCTATTAAATTTTAACCATCCTATTTGTTCCTAGCACCTTACTGAAACTAGGTATTTTGACCAAAATAAAATGTACTAAAAACATTTTAAGTTGATCCTGAGCTGGTAAAACAGCCATTCAAGCTTTCAAAATTTGCAAAATTCTGAATTCCATTGATCTGTTTCTGATCCCTACCACTACAAGTTTCTGAAGCACCAGATTGATAAAATTACTTTCCAAATGTTGATTTAGTTTAGATTTATGGATCTTCTCTGAAATTCTGCAAGAGTAGGGTGGGGAAAGAAACTCAATTTCAAGCAGTCATATTTCAACATATGCTTTCTTCCTGCTTTCTTCCACTTCAGCATGTTGAAAGTCGAGAAGTACATAGGAAACATGGCACTTTGTATTTCCTAACTGCCATGAAGACAATTTCAGAGATTGTGAGATGTATCTTTTATCCTTTTTCTGTGGAACTGCCAATTTCATTTACTGTAATACATTATTATTTCTGTTGCAATGAACTTTATCATTCAGAACAACCTTAAAGTGAGTCTTAGGGTACCTATTAAGTCACTTCTTCTTTACTGTTTTTATTATTTCTGTATATCATCTTAAAGTGTATTGTTTGTTTATTTCAGCAGGGAAAGCCTTATGTCTTCGATAGAGTGTTACCTCCGAACACAAGCCAGGAACAAGTTTATAATGCCTGTGCCAAACAGATTGTTAAAGGTAAGTGAGGTTCTCATTCATCTCTAAACAGCAAATGTAAATGTTTGATTTTAAGGCTGCCTGAAGCTAGGTAAACATATATTGCCCTTTCTGGGCTTGAGTTTAGGCCCTGGTAGAACTCATCTTTTGAATAAGAAGTTTGTGGTGGGGTATGTAAAGTACCCCTGCTCCCCATGCAGGTTTTATCCTGAGTGCCAGTCAGCTTGTTATACTACTGCCCCACACTGATCAAAAAGGAGGTAATGGCTTCTGGTGCCTACTCAGCTGTGCCCTTTTATTCCTGCCATATGTAGTTGGCTTGGGGAAGTATAACAGAGCCAGCCTCGGTGGCTATCTGGGAGGAAGAGCAGACTTTCAGCTTTCACTCTGTTGTAACTAGGAATGGATTAGATACTGCTAATGCTGTAGGAAGGTAGGTCTGTTTTAGACTCAGTTAGACAGTTGTATGAGATACCTCATGAGAGACTCCAGTGGTTTGTGACGAGCTCAAGAGTGACACAGGCAGAGTTGTGAAAATAATTTTGGTAACAGGCTAAGCATGATTTGGCTTGCTGTGGGACCATTTTAAAACTGCAATAACAAATAATCCCTTTGCTGATGGTAAAACAGTGTCTAGAACAGGAAACGATATACAAAGTAGACTAGTATAATTCTTTTAACATGGCTTTTGCCTGCTCTGTCCTGACTAGAGGTACTCTGTTTTAAACCTCTGCTAATTGCAGCTGATTTTTAGATAGTCAGTAGAGATCTATTTTTAAAAATTTCTTCTAACTGCAGGGGTAGAATTGCATGAGGAGGCCTGAGATCACCCAGCTAGCTGAAAACAGTGCTGAACTTCAAGGAAGAAAGGAACCTTCAATTTCACTACCAGAATTCAGATTGGCTGGTGGTGATGCAGTGATATGAGCACTAGAATAATTTCTAGTAGCAAAGGCACTTCTCATTAAAGGCTTATCTGCATGGGAAAGGTATTTAAAAGTAAGCTGAATTTTAAAAGGCAATAGCTATTTCTGCTGGCTCCCTGTATTAGCATTCCTTACACCATTTTTATTGTGGCTCAGCTGTGCCCACAAAACACTAAAAAGGTACTCACAGTGTGGAATAAATGTGTCAATGGGCAGCTATTTCCTTGTGTAGATGAGCCCTAAGAAGAGAATCGTTATTTCATGTACAGAAAGCTCCTTTTTAAATGAGAGGTAAGCACACCATGGCTGCTGGATTGCACTCTGAATGCTACAAAAATATCATAAATCATTTCAGTGTTATGACTGAACTCATGAACCTTGAAATGCTTAGATATATTTTAATGTCCACCATTGATTTTTCACAAAAGACCTCTAGGAAAGGCCTGACCCTGAGCACTAGTTAGTGTCCTGTTAATTGTTCAGCACCTCACAGAATCAACGCTGAGTTTCCCAGATCAGTTTCTTCATAATGACATGGGCTGATTACCGCACTTTTTGAATGTGGAAGTCCCTTGATGACCTTGTTTTTAGCTTTTTAACATTACTTTTGGGGTGTGACCAATACCAGGTCATTGTTGAATGCAGGGGTGCTCAAACTCCCAGCCTGTAGATCTGATCCAGTCCCTGGTGCTGTGTGGTCTGATCGCAGGGCTCCCTATGGATTTGTGGGCAGCCCCACTGGGCATGGCCCTCCATGCTAGATTGGGTGTGCAGGGAGGTATGGGGCCTGATCCTGGTGCATGAGGGCCAGGTTGGGGCAATGTGGGGCTCTTGGAGCTTGCTCCCAGCTGGCACTTCCGTCTGGCTGGTATCATGCCTTGGGGCCCTGCACCACCTCCACCCAGCTCCTGCATGCTGAGATTGGGCCCCAGAGATCTATGCCACCCCCACCCAGCTGGCTTTGGGCTCCAGCAGAGTGGAGGTGGTGCAGGGCCCCGGAGTGCAATCCTGGTTTACAGGGTGATGCAGCACCCTATCTATCCCACAGACCAGCCTCATACCATTCCTCTTGCTGGTAGGGCCAAAAGTGTGGGCACCGCAGGTTTAGTGTAGGGTTTTCTGAAGTCTGGGGAAGCTCCTCTGGGTGCATGAAGGATTTGCCAGAGGAGACAAATTTCATAGTTTCATAGTAGCTAGGGTCAGGAGGGACCTGAACAGATCATCTAGCTGACCCCCTGCCACAGGCAGGAATGAATGCTGGGTTCACAAGACCCCAGACAGGTGATCATCCAACCTCCTCTTGAATTTGCCCATGGTAGGGGTGAGGACCACTTCCCTGGGAAGTTGGTTCCACATTTTGGCCACCCTAACTGTAAAATATTGCCTTCTGATCTCTA